CCGGCACCAAACTCATCAGACGAAACACGGAATGGCTTCCATTTCACGCCTGTCTTCTGTGTGGTCGTGGTATTACACCGGGCGTGCCGGCCATGCAGTGCTAAGATGTTAAAACGGGCACTACCACTGTTATAAGAATAAGAAAACCATAAATCAAATGTTTTCAACGCTATAGAGTAGGAGCGGGCGCACAATTTTGACTAAACTTCGCACAACTGTTGTGCGATTGTCGATTGTTTTGCAGCAAATTCAATTGTTTTTGCACAACTAACAATCGAGTAGAGTGCGCTCCATATAACCTCATAAGAATCAAAGCTAGACTTAACATTGTGATACTTTAGTCAGAGATGTGCGCTTATAATATAAAGAAACATCTTAAGGGTCTGTCCCACTACGAACTGATTGAGGTTAGATAGCTAAAAGTGTCGTCATTGACAGAGAGAGTACCCAAATCCGATTCTTCCGTATTACTTATATATTTAATACGTTGGATTGTTATCTAATAATTTACAATAACTGTGGGACAGGCCCTCAGTGTTATATGTTATTATAATTATCTCATTTGACGGGTGAGCGTCTGACATCGCGCTTTGCCAATGCATGACGCTGATATATTATATCTGGCCAACACTTTGATGGTATATAAATAATTTTCAATGTAGTTAACACTTTCAGTGCTATTGTGGTTTGTTAGTGCCTCCGCATTGGCGCTTTTTTGTCGCCGCGTATAACTACGTATTGAAGACTCTCGACGGAAAGTCGCTTTAAAATCACTCTTGTTTCGTTCATCCAGTGCTCAAAATGCAATACTGAACGATAAAAAAGAGTCGCGTTTTAAATGTGTGACCTTATAAATAGATAAACAGATCGCATTTGTTCTATTTTGGTTTTTTAAAGTTTTTTTTAGCATATGTTAAAAATCGCCCTTGTAAATTAGATTTATATCCTTTCCTACAATACTAGCGTGCTTCAAACTCGTTTCGAGAATTCGTTTTAGTTTTAGTTCAGGCTTTAGACCGCATTAAAATACTGGAATAACTTACAACATGATGGTATGTACAAGATTTGTAGAGTTACCTGTCTGCTGGCCGCATAATTAAATAGGTCCACACTAACAGCGCCACAGATGAACTGGAGCACAGAGAAAACAGTACAGCCTATACCGAAAGCCTGTGAGTCTTCTATCAAAGCTATGCGGTTCTCTTCGGCACTGGCGTTCGTTCTGAAAGTTAATGTACTGTTAGAAATTTATCTAAAGGCGTACTGATCGATGTTATGCGGTGTAATGTAATGTACAGGGAATCCAGCTAGCAACAAGCTGCTAGATGCAAAAGTTACAGCTCGTAACATGACCGGGGGTCAGACTATCGCCTTAAATGATTACTTTACACAGAACTCTGAATATAATAAAATGTAAAATTAAGTCAACCTTATGATTAAGTTTGAAAAAATAAAATCTGTCTGATATGTCGTTCTAATATATTGGTTAAAATAATGTTATTGAGCGATAACATAGCTTTCTAGTGGTGAAAATATTTTTGATATCGACAAAGTATATTTTTAGTTATTTCAATACATACAAAAATACAAATCTTTCCTCTTTATAATATCAGTATAGATAGAGACTTTGGCCATAGGCACTAGTGTTAGACAAAACGAGGATTGACAGAATGTGTCAGTGGAAACAGGGGCTATTGAGTTAAACTTACAGTATTCTACCGCCGCCAAACATAGAGATAGTGATAGTCGGATTTGAGGTGCCGACCATGACGGTGCGGTCGATGAGTAGAGCGGTGAACTCGCCATAGATAATCACACCTATTGGCACCATCAGGCCGTTCATGGTCGCCAGGAACACGCCCGCGAAAAGCAAAAGCAACTCCCATGGCGTTGCGTACCTGAACTATATGATAATTCTATTAATTAAATTTAAACGCCAATAGCCTAATAGTTTGAGGTATGGACTACTTGGGGTCGAGGGTTCGAATCCCACCATTCGACTATTGTCGTGAACCATATCCTAGCACAAGCCTAGAGCTTAATTGGAATGAAATAAAAATTGTGTCGCCACTTTATCTTTAATAGATCAAGGAGACAGACAGAAAAAGTATATCTCCTCCGTTTAATCCAGTTCCCCTTACCATCCTCTTCTTATAAGATTAGAGTAGGAAGGGGGAGAGAATATAATAAGGCCATCGGAGCACTTGCTTGTCAAAGGAAACGCGGAATTGATTTCACTTGACGTCTGTCTTCTGTGAGGTCGTGGTACAATGGGTGAGTCTGTCTTCTCTGAGGTCGTGGTACGAGTGAGCCTGTCTTCTATGAGGTCGTGGTACAACGGGTACTTCGGCATTCGTGCAACAGATGTTGCTGGATTCTACCACTTTTAGTTAGTTAGTTATACTAAACAAAACGATTAGTTACTTTAATAAAAGACTTACTAAATGGAACCACGAAACAGGCGCTGGTTGGTCTTGTTGTTCTTCACTGAAAATAAATATTTATAAAACTAACGGAACACTATTAGCTTTTGTATGATTCAGAATGATTTATATAAACTTTTATCAGATGTGAGGTTAGACCTATTTAATTTCGTTTGATCATTTAACCTTTTGGACGCCAAAATCTACTTGACAAGCTATGTCGAGTTGTGGACGCTAGTGACATCTATGGGTGACAGAAATACGATAAAAAATGAAACAAAAATTAATTATTTTTAATTACTCTAAAAACTATCGGTGCCACTACAAACGTGATAAGTCATTACATAGTTTTAATTATATCCACCGTGAAAGATTAAATAAAAATGAAAGGAATCAAATTTTACACGAAGTATATTTTCGTTCCTTCAAAGTCACGTGATCATGCCTCCTTGATGCGATATATGGTGTAAAAATTGCTATGAAAATGTCAATACATTCCATAATGGTAACTCTAAGTGCAAGCACATCTTTTATGTACCCTAAAGAGGTACGAACGCCTTGGTATATTAGAGAACATACTTAACATGCATGCGAAATCGTTAACTAAAAGATAACTAAATTGCCCAAAACTGGTTCACATATAATTAGAAATTAAAGTTTTTTTTCCATTAATTTAACATTAACGAATATATTAAGATAAGTAGCAAACAGAAATATATATGTTAAAAAGTTTAGTACGTCAATTTCTTACAGGTTAAAATTTTTATCGATTTTTTATGAATTTGCGTCATCGTACAAATTAGCGATGCAGTTTTGGTTTGGCGTTCAAAAGGTTAAAATTTCTTAGTGGAGCTACTGGACGTTTCCCGATAGGTCGAACGATCCAATGGTAATAGTATTGTAATGTTGGGGAAAAAATTCCCATTGGATTTATCGATCCAGTGGGAAAACTATCTAACGATATAAAGGGAATCACCCGAGCTATTTCATTGACAGAATTCGCTCACTAAACCTACTAATTCTTCCTATGTAAGCGATTTGCGGAGCGAAGCGCATCTTTGATTTAATACGTAAATGAGTACTAAATTCATCTACAAAATTTGACAGAAATATTACTGGCCATTTAATAATTGATGTTAAAATGATTAAAATTAACTTTTAAAACTATATGACAAACTTACACATCATCCGTAAGAGGTAGGCAGTGATAGACAAACTGTGAGAACGAGGTATATACGTTTGATTACCAAATATTAAACAAAAACGGCTTAATTCGAATTCATTATTAAACAAATATACTATGGGGTGCGTCTAGATTTGGCAATATCGAATCGCGCTTTTCAAATCTGAGCGCACCCTTTTTACTACCAATGTAATACCAACATAAGGAATACAAACAAAACAAACAAAAATATGTACTAACGCTTCTTTGGTTCGCGCTTTTTCAGCTAAGTAAGCGGAGTGCTGAGCAAATGCGCTGATAGTAAGCGAATTCTGTCGCCAGCCAAGCGCGACGCCGGGCTTCTCGTGCCGGCCGCCGCGGAATTGTTGCAAGCTCTTTACCGACTCATTGCGTTTCATTCTCGGGTCAGCCGCTCTGTGAACAGATACAATATTATATAGAGAAACTGATAGCATTCGATATATACGCGATTCAAGAATGGCACATAAAATATTTGCTATAGAAGGCAGGTCATAGGAAATAGCGGTGACAGTTCGTGTGGCACCTCCGCAAACTTTTACTGCCTTACAAATAGATGCGGTATAAAGTTTAACTTGGGAATAAACTGAGTATAAGCGTAATTTGTACTAATATTTGTTATACTCTGATAATTCCTTATATTATATAATATACCGCGTTTATTTGTAAGGCTGTTAGGCGTTTTAAACGTAATGTTATCTTTTTCATGTCCTTTAATAACCACTACTTAATGCTAAGATATGTCTAAAAATAGAATAACTAAAACGAGATTTTTAATTTACTATATAATAACTTCGAAGGAAATGTAGAACGAAAAATTGGAATGATTTTCACAAACTTACCTTAGTAGCTTGGTATCTAAATTTCACATATTATTGTCATTTCTTACATTTACGAAATAATAGAAAACTTACGATGTAATAACGAAACGAAACAGACATTCTTACTAATATTATAAATTCGAATGTTTAGATGGATATTTGTTAGATTTTGTAGCCTAAAATAAACGAATCTCGATTAAATTTGTGATATATATAGAGGGTAGTCTGGAAGAACACTACTTACTTTTGTTTCGTTAATTCCACGCGGGCGGAGTCGCGGGTGAAAGCTAATACATATTAATAAAACCATTTGTTCGATACTAATAAACATTTAAGTTAAAATGTTAACATATATAGACTTTGTTTATTTTATTTAATGACATTTTAGACATAATATGACAAAAAGTAAGCATAGACAATAAAAAATTAAAAACAACGGAGAGTTTGTACAGTTATAAATTTGTCTGTGGTCTTTTTCTTCTTGGATAACTGCAGAGATTCATAAAACATATAGAGGAGGCAGTTGACACTTAATTTGAAACATTTTTCACATAATCTAACTGACGCTATCTATTAATACAACCTCTAATCTATGGAGCTTATTATAATTTTGTTAAATGTTTTGTTTTTTAATACACGAGGTGACACTAAACTTGACAACTAATATAGTATCTTTGAGAGAAAATACCGATGAAAAAATTTTGGCCTCGTCTATACATTTTTTAAATGTCTTTGGTCACAAGTAACATGGTAAACTCTATTCTCCAACAGTTTTGTAACGTGCATTATGAAATTAAACCACAAAAAAACATTAATTAAATTATGACAAGATACCAGCTAACCTTCACATTATATGAACTAATTATTTCTACTTTCTATTTTTAAATATTTTCAACTTTAATAACTATCTATACATATAATAAAATTGGAATGTCTGTTTATAACATCAATAGAATATTCCAGAGTTCGGAAAGATGATGTATTTGAGTTACTGATAACGAAAATCGCATTCATTAATTTTTTGTCTGTCTGTCCGCAAGCCGCGATTGTTCCGGTAGTCTCCGAAACGGCTTTGCCGATTTCGACTGATCTTTCACTGAAGGGTAGCTGACATACACCTTATAGGCAACACTTTTTTTAACTTAATATTGCGTGTACAAAGTCGGTGGCAACAGCTAGTTGTAACTATATTAAATAACTAGCGCTTATCCGCTGGTACGGTCGATGGTGTCAGTTTACTCTATTCCTTAGGTTAGGTTAGGTTTTTAAATAAATGAAACTTTTACAATGATTTTTTTTTATAATAAAAGTGGGCAAACGAGCAGCGTGAACACCAAGGTGGTCAACGACGCCCATGGACATCCGCAACACCAGAGGAACTACAGATGCGTTGCCGGCCTTTGAGGAAATGATAGGCTCGCTTCTTGAAGGGACCCTAAGTCGTATTGGATTTCGCGTATCCAGCGCGTAATTCCGTATATGTTTCTTCCATTGTAAATTTTAATTAGTTAGGTATTTTAATCTAAAAGTAATAACCAATTCTCAAGTGCGAAATATTCAATACGTTTCCATCTCAATGGCGATTATTGTTTTTGAAATGAAAAACTTATTTTAGCAAAATTTATACTAACTCTCCTCTGTCCGCGTGGAATTAAAAAAATAAACAAAAATAAGTAGCCTATATACTCTGCCATATGTTCTAAATCTGTGCGAAATATCATCGAGATTCCTTTAACTGTTTAGACTACAAACTCTAACATCCATCTAAACTTTCGCATGTACATTAGCAAGATCTAGTAATGTTTAGTTATTTTAATTATTAAATTAATTTAAAAGCTGGAAACAGCGTTGTCCGCAATGCAGTGGAACTGCCATACTTCAATCGATGGCCGCAAACCATTATACTGTTTCGACTTTCAATATGTAGTACATAAGACGTGTACGTGCATTAAATGAAAACAGACACAAAATCCATTTAGTATAGATATAAGGCTGTTATAAAATTAACGAAAATCAAACCGTGTTTGATTGTACACACTTCAATTCGTGGTATATCTCTAAAATGTACGTAAACATATAAACTTATATTTACAATAAATTTTAATTGATCTTGATAACAATACTGATAACAGAACGAAGTTGAATGACTTCTATGACCTTGACAAATGTATGGTTTTTAGTTTTCCTACCTCAAACCTTTACACAAGTATAACTAAGTTTTAACTTATTTTTTTATATCATACGGTGGCAAACAAGTGGCCACCTGAATCCGCCAAAATGGCAACGCAACCTCTGCTCATAGACATTCGCAATAGATACGCACATAAAGAGGACATTTCCCCTTCCTATGCGTCACTTGCACCGTCGAATCCACGTTCCTTTCCCATCCTTTTCGTATAAGAAAAAGAGTGACAAGAAAAAGGGACTAAAGTTGTACCTCCGGCACCACAATCACCAGACGAAACGAGAAATTGCTTCCACTTGACGCCTGTCTGTTGTGTGGCCGTGGTATTCCGGGCGAGCCGGTACATTAGCGTGAAGATATTAAAGCGGGCTCTACCACTGTCCTTGTAAGGCTTGTGTACTTAACCGCGAGCTTACCCCTTAACTATTGCTATCACAATTTACTAAAATCTACCAAATAATAAACAAAGGGTTTTTTTCATCGCAGTGTTAGGATAATAAAGACAGTTCAATTAAGATAATGATTAACAATTTTCAAGGTGTTCGCGTTTTAAAATACGATTTAAAAAATTGATATCTTGAGATATACACCTGCACTGAATATTACAACAGCCTTAACAGCTGTACAATAGCTTCATCTCTCTTCTTTTGTTTCAACGCGTATTATGCTTGAACGAGAAACCTACTTTCAGGGGTTATTATCAGGTGAGCTTTTACATGTAAATTCAACCTTAAAACATAAGAATTAAAGTTTATATTTGATAGTTTATGGGCTTGGACATACAATTTCAGTATTTAGTCAATCTTTGGATGTAAACAATCAAAACACGGGAACTTAGAAACTTGTAGACAAGGATAGACTTATATCCCTGTCCTTATTCTACTTACGTAGAGTCTAGGCACCGGGTTTTCGCCCTTAATCTTTCAACATATTTTTTAAATCTTTTATGAGGTTCAATATATTGAAAATTCGAACATGATGTGTAAAACCTTTGTACGATACAAATCGATTTTCTAGAGATTCTGTTCAAATATTTACAATTGTGGACGATAAAGTAAATATACGTTATCTGTTAAATAATATTATTGCAAGAGATAATTCACTAGTTTTGCGCGTGTGTCTATTATCCGATATTAATTTAAATCACACACTAAAAACTTAAATTGCATTGTAGTACTAAAAAACTAGATGCAAAAAAATAATTGCCAAATTAAAAAAACTCTCTAACTAATATTATAAATGCAAAAGTTTATCTGGATGAATGGATGTTTGTTAGAGTTTACCGCCCATACGGCTGAACGGATCTCCATGTAATTTGGCACAGGTTTATAGCATAGTCTGGAAGAACACATAAGCTACTTTTTATCCCGGGCATAGTTACGGTTCCCGTGAGATTCATTAATTTAGTTTTTATAATGTTTAGCCTAGACCTTACTTGGTGTTATATTAAATGTTTGTAAAAACTAATCTGCTTATACTTTATTTTTAAAACATAGTTTCCGTCGCTAAGGGCGCATCTTTGACAACTATCGCACAACTGTTTAGTCGCGCTTTGATTCTTATGAGCTTATAAGGAGATGCGCTCATTACTCAATTTTTAGTTGTGCGACTAAACAGTGGTAGTGCCCGCTTTAACATCTTAGCACTGCAGGGCCGGCACGCCCGGTGTAATACCACGACCACACAGAAGACAGGCGTGAAATGGAACCAATGCCCTGTTTCGTCTGATGAGTGTGGTGCCGGTGGCCTAATTTAAGTCCCTTTCTCTTTACAACCCTTTTCTTATGAGAAGATGGGAAAGGGAAATGAATTTGACGATGGAGGAGATGCATAGGAAGAGGAAATATCCTCTTTATGTGCGTCTCCTCCTCCGTCGGATAAGGGTAGTCGACTCATCTGCAATTGCAGATGTCTATGGGCAGCGGTCGTTTTGCCATTTTGGCGGATTCAGGTGGCCGCTTGCTCGTTTGCCATCTTATGTTTAAAAAAAAAGTTGAATTTGCTAGACACAATCGACAATCGTACAACAGTCATGCGATAGTCTAGTCAAAAGTGTGCGCACGGTTTAACAATCTTTAGCATTGTCAATATGATACATGTTATGTGTCCAGACACTACGCGTTATTTTCGTTAACAAATTCTAATTGGATCAAGGTCCTGCCAAATCTGAATAGAACTTTTAAAATAGTGTTTAGTTAGAAGCCAAGTGCAACTGCCAGTTACAATGTCTATTATTACATTAATCAAACGATTTTGAACCTTATTGCGTTGCAATAAGATGTTGGTTAGATAGACAGTCGGCGCAAGTGTGTACGCATTGTACATTATAAAGTCAGGTGCAAACTGTTGCGTAACTTGTGTTGACGCGGGTGTTATGTAACGTCTCGTTTCCGCTGTGACGTCACCGGGGGAAAATGCGCAGGGCATTATTTAGGTCTAAGATTTGGCGTAGCGGGAAATCTTTTAAACATTTGTAATGTATAAAATCTCCCTAGTGTTGGATGTTTTGTTTGTTATTTTGGTTAGTTAATATGGTAAATATTAAAGATGGTTGTTTGTAACTGGTATATTAAACAAAAAAAAAACACTGATAAAATTTCAGGCAAATATCTATACTATTATAATAAAGAGTAAACACACACTTCTTTGTTGCCTAAGATGTCAGCAATTACAGCATATTTTTTAAATAATTCTTCTTTAATAAAAAGCTCTACACTTACGTCACGCTTTAGGCTATATATTTTCACGCCATTAAACTTAGGGGGTAAATATTTTGGATAAAAACCCTAATATGGGAAAAAGACCATAAGTTGCTGCCAACATCAAGAAAGTAAGATTGCCAAGGTTTGTCATGTCATGTCATTTTGACAATTGCAATTGATAATTTAAATATACAATAAAATGAAAATTTATAATTTCATGCGGATTAAGTCGCATGGAAACAGCTAGTTATCTATGTTTTTAAACATTAAAGGGATGGCAGGCAATACATTTTGTGCAGATGTTTCGGCAGTGAAAACCGACGGTTAAAAACAATTTTTTTTTTCACCTGACTGCCTAATCGTGCTACATTACATATTGTTGCAAG